CAATTTAATCAGTCTGAATAATCTTGTTTTGTGACAAACCTCCTAAATCACAAAGGAGTGATGCAGTTTGTATGGGTGAAATGTGCTCCACAGAGATATTTCAAGTTGAAGAATAAAAATGAGAATTAGACAATACAGAACTCATTGAAAGCCAGTTTTCCAGCTGCTCTAATTTCCCACAATTTAATTTGTGTGCCGTCAAAAGCAACTTGGAGGCTTCCAGCAAGATGATAGAACTATGGGTGAGGCTAAAATAAGGGTCTGAAATGTGCTGAATGCATTGCAGTCCCATGCTGTAAAAGCATCTCCTAGGACCAAATACAGGCAGCATAATATCCTAGTAAATTGGACCATTAAATAAAACTGTGAAGTCATAAAGCTGTAGCATTACCCTGAAATTAAAGCATTGTCACCTTTGAATTATGGAACAATTTAACAAGCATTTAGGAAATCTGCTTTTCAAGGCTGCATTTAACTATTCCAGGTTAGACAGTAGAAGATGTGGCTGCACTCTCCTACTGGGTTTTGAATGACTTTCAGCTTGTGTGTGGTTTGAAATTTTACCAAGCTGACAAAGTAGTAAAATAATAAAGTGGAACGATAGAAGGTAAAAATAAACAGTGACCTTTGCCTAGAGAACAGTTTTTCATTCTCGTTGCAAATTCACAAGTGCAGGGAGAGCTCATTAAATTGAGTAAATAGGAAAAAAACATATAGTATGGACAAATGTAAAAAGATAATTATAACTTCTTTGTTGAAATAGAGGAAAAGAGAGCCTTATCTGCCTAGTTTAACAGTTTCCAGATATGGAAATGGCTAGAAGGAGCCAGTGGCGCTCAACTTGGTTTGCATTTATGATTACAGCGTCGCTGCCTAAAAATATAATGAAAACAAACCCCAAAAGAATAAAGATTTAAAAAAAAAAACAAACCACACAAAAAAAAATAATCCTCATACTGTGAAATAGGAACAGTATGTGAAGCCCCATTTTCAAAAGCCATAGGCTTAATCTGTGCAGAGGAATGCCTCTGCAAAGGCACGTGCAAGTGATGGAGCTGAGGTGCAGGCAGCTGTTGCACTGCTTCCTAGCTGTAGTGATCTGTGTGCATGACCAGATTGCAGCTACATTGCTTCCATAGGTCCTGAAGCACACCTGAAATGCAAGGTCCCAGATTGGTGTCAGTAGGCTTCCGAGTACACGCTGATCGAGCTGTAAAGGTATAATTCCTTGACTTGATTCTGAGGCAGACAGCTGTATTCTGGGGGCAGCCCTAGCTAAACTTGTGCCTGTGGATTTGATAAAATAGTATGATATTTTTCTAAATGCTGCCGGGTTTGAGGTGGAGAAAATGGTGCTTGAATAAAGCCCAGGAGTTGACCCGAATGGTGAGGGTCTTCAGAAGAAAAGTTGGCATTATTTTTGTGTTGTTTTCTGGTCTACAAAAGCAGATGTGCATGGTCTTGCTCTTGAATGGTTCAAGAATTTACTGCACTCCAGCTCTTAGTTACCTCTCCCTCAGCCATCTGAGATGCATCTGAGAGCAGTGTTGGCTTGCCCACTCTGTCCAAATTAAAAAAAAAAAAGGGTTTAAATAGTTTTCAGGCTCATTTGCTGCATGTAAACCAAGGGGGGTCCTTTTGAAAGAAGGAGCTTTCTCTTTTTTACTGTGATGTGAATGTAATCACTTATTCTTCTAGCAGGTTGTGTGTGACTTTGTGCATGTCACCTAGCCCCTCTACGCCTCATTTCTCTCTTTCTAAAATGGAAGTACTTGTTCTTTTCCTGGGCAGTGGGAAGAAGTGTGGCTGAGAGGGTTGAATACATCTCTCTTCCCTTTCCTCCTCTAACATTATTGTCACCGGTTCTTTTGTCTTGCATCTGCAAGTGTGTTAGGCCACCCTTCTGATCTGAAGGCTTCCTTTATTGCAAAGTTTTTAAAGCCTCTTTCATTGCTTTTTTTTTTTTTTTTGGTTAAAAATAAAAAAGGTAGCAGAGGATGTGTTTCTCCATGCTCTTTCTACACCAGCTGTGCATAGGGAAAAGAAACAAACTTTTGAATGACAGTAGCTTTTGCCATCCCAGCAGTGTGCTTGCTGGTTGTTGTGACTTTCATTTCACTAGATCAGTGAGCCAAATGTATATCTTTTTTGAGAAGCTGTACTGATGGTTACCTTTACTTCAAAGATGGAGCACAGAGGGAATCTTTGAGGTGACCAGCAAAGCACAGATCTGGTCTGTAAAAGTAATAAGGGTAACAGATCAGGCATGTGTAGATTAGGAAACGTCTGAAATGTAACTCCAGAATTCTTCCCTTCCACCATTACTTTATTTTACTCTCTGTTCTGATGTACTTGCTAAATCACAATTATTTTGAGTACAGAAGGAAACTTGATTTGTTTTCCTTTTCCAAACTAGAGTATTGGTTATCTGCAGTTAGCTTCTCATTTCTAAAAGATCCTGTGGAGAAAGGCAGTTTTGAATGTCAAAGTTCAGACATCAGAGGGACAGCTGAGTGCAGCTGTAATGATAACAAGGCCATTGAAAATTAATGAACAATCACAGAGGGAAATAAGAGAAAGACTGTCTGTCCGACACACTTGTTAATGAGTGTCTCATTTCAAACATGCCAATTCATTACATTTCCAACACTTCTTGGAAAGACTGTTTTATGCTATGCTATTTTTCGTAATTTTTTCCTAGTAATTCCTCATTGCTTCTAAATTACTAGATCCTGATACTTTTGGCTTTTCAAGTACACACACAGCACCTTTCCTAATGAACAAGTACACAGCCTGGAAAGCAGTAGTGTTAACCCCTCTGAAACTCTAGCGTTAGGCTGTTGTACTTCCTTAGCAGCACTGGAGCCACTATTATCAGCATTGGTTTTGTTGCAATTTCCCAAAATTATGTTAATGACTCTCAATGGGGAGGAGCTTATGGCTGCCTATCTGGAATTTCAGCATCCAGTTCAGCATCTCTTGGTTTTACACCTCACAGTATCAGTAACTTGATGTTTGTCTTTTTAGTAGATTTTTTTCAGTGAAGACAAGGGTTAAACTTCTGCCAGCTTCTGTAAGAGGAAAGTTAGCTTCCCTTCAACTGCTTCTGAAACATCCACTCTGTTCATGTCAATCCTTAAGAGAACACAAGAAAAAACAGAGAGACTCTGGCTGATAAGAACCACTACTTTCAGATATACAAGATGTGTGTTATGAAGTCATTGAATTATATTGTGTTGGAAGCAATATATCATGCAGGACTGTGCAGGGTATTGTGCTACAGTGTTGGCTGTGATTACAACTACTGGGGCAAATTTTACAAGCAATAAATTTGTAATATTTCTTGTGATTTTAATCTAACTTTCGTGTATCACACATTGCAGCAGTATTTTATTGAGCTCCAACTCAAAGGACCCACAAGCAGCATCCTGAACTCAACAAGAACCACAGAATTACAGATCTATGTGTGAACTCTTTCCATCTACCATTACAAAAATGATGAGAGTGTTGTGAGTGAATGTATGGTTTGCTAAGCATAAACTGTCCTTGCAGTTAATGCCATACGTTACTGGAAGAGTAATTTCTCCGTAACTTGCAGCCAGGTCTTGGAACAGACCTCTTTAAATCGTCTCCAGATGGTTGTTGTTACTTGCCTGTCATCTGAATGCCTCCATAATGACAATCCATTAAATCATCTGAGTGTCTTTGCACAGATAGTCCGTTTACGATTTTTATACACCTGTTAGAGTTCTATTGGAGTAATTTGTGGGATATTTGTAGCTCAATGAAAACAATGCAATGCAATGCAATGCATTGCGGTGGCCACAAAGCTACTGGGCTCATCATGCCATTGTAATGGGGAGTAACTGGAAAGCTCACACTCTCCAAGAACTCAGACCGAGTAATCTGATAAAACCATCTGAATACTTAAATGCACAGTTTTTAAGATTGGTTTAGAAAGGTCTGGTTCTGCATTATTCAGGGTTTCCCTGTTGAAGCATGAATAACAAAATATAGATCTCTTGTCTAGATCTTGCCTCTTCCTCTATAACTGTGCGTAGGCAAGTGAGATTGAAATCTTCCTCTCATCAAATGATTAAAATTTATTTCCTTAAATTTTTGCCCTATCAGTATCTTGTATCTTCCCTGGGCAAGCAGGGTCTTTGATAAAGAGGGAATTTACTGGATGTGACTCTTAATAACATCGTGAGGCACGTGCAGGGCTCAGTCCTGTGAATCCTCATTAAAGAGTTTGCCTTTTACTCTCGGTCAGCTCATCAGATTGGCCATCCAGGCTGTTCTTGTTATCTCAATCCTTCTGGTTCTCACCAGCACCAGCAGTGAAACAGCCTCCCTGCTAAGCTAATTGCTTCTAATTGCGATGTTCTCCTTGTCATGCCAACCCCAGCGCTGGTCATTAGCTGGGTTGTGACGGTGCAGGTTGTGCTTAAGCTTGGGTTCTGCTCTCTGTCACCTGTGAAATCCCTTTCTCTGCCAGTAAATGCAATGAAGGAGATGAGAATGGGCTCCCAAGCAATGAAAAGCATCAACATTTACAGCTAACTACAGATGCCGAGTCATATGTTGTTCTGTACCATCATCCAAGCAGGGTATCACTCAACTTATATGTAGAAAAATCTCAGAACTGAGTAAAAGAAGTGATTTGACTTCCAGCTGAGCAGTAAGAACGTGATCTTAGTTTTAGCTTTCTGGCAAGGGTTTGTGGTTTCTGTTTGTGGTGAGTTTCTGTGAGCTTGTAGTTTCTCTCTTGCTGAGCAGGCTCTGTAGTGTTTGCTCAGGCTGGTTCAGGGAGAAACAGCTCTGTGGGTTACACTGACCTGTAACAGGTCTTCATCACAGGGTGATGATTTTGGAGCCCACGGTCCTGCTGATCCTCTCGCCAATGCACTAAAGCTTTAGATTTCAGTTGTTTTTTTGTTCCTTGCTTGTTGTAAGTTTTTTGCCGTTAACTTCCTACTCAATCTTTTTTCATTTAACAGAAGATAAGATCTGGACTGCAGTGCAGCACAACAACACAGGGCTAACCAGAGTCCAAGGAGCTGATCCGGAGAAGCCGTACACCATGTCCTTTAACTACAACAGCAGCGCAGAGCAGCTGGAAGCTATGATAAACAGCGCAGAGTACTGCGAGCAGGAGGCAGCCTACCACTGCAAAAAGTCACGTCTCCTGAACACACCGAGTAAGTGCCGTGATCCCAAATCTTTCCTTGATAAGTTAACTCTTATTGATTACCCAGCAGATACAGGCCACACTGCGACTGAGGAAGATAAAAAACCCAAAACAAATAGTGGCAATACAGAATAGAGTGAAAAGCCTTTTACCTTCTGGGGTACCACTGTGCGGTGCCTGTCCTCTGATGCAAGAGGGTCAGAGCTCTGCAGAGGAGTTTCCACTCTACAAGTTCATGAGTGCAAAGGCTCTGAAAGCTTCTGCAATGGAAAGTACTACTTAGAAACCACAAAAACTGTATTTAGCTCATCATAAATGGATGTGTTTATTAATTTATTTTTTTTTAACTCTACATTAAAGATAGAAAGAATCCATATTGCTCCAGACTTTTATGATGTTTCTGGAGAGGAGGAGTGTACCCTCTTGTGAGTCCCACAGCCCTGAATATGATGTTTAAGGTGCTTGGTAGTACTGTTTCTGGGGCAAAAGTAATTTTCCCCTTGTGATAGAAGTCTTTTTTCCCCTGATTTAATTAACAGCAACAAGAAAGCAGAGGGTATGATCAGTTTGTGTCTCTGCAGTAGAAAATCTCCAGTGGCTACTTAGGATGGCTGCCTTCCACTAAACCCTGTCCTGGGGTCGGGATTTTACATTTGCTTAGCCAGAGAGATGAGTGCCACTAAGGGCAGGCTTCTGAGTGTCTTCAAAGGCTCATCTGGTTACTTGTAATGTCTGTATGGTCCTGGTGATTCTTTGATTATTGGCAACTCTTAAATTTGTTAGTAGGTTAGAAGAAATCCCACAGAAAGCCTTAAGGGGAACTTGCAATGGGAGTTCCTATTGTGTTTAAAATACATTGCCTAATGAGATGTATCAAAAACCCTCCTAGTTCCAGCAAAGCTACTATAACACTGAATGTTTATGGATCCAGTAATCAGATGCCTTACAGCCAGTTTATTTTTAAAACCTGTGAATTATGTCTTTTGTTATCATCAGAATTTACCAGCCAACAACTGCTTGTATTGCTAATCATTTTTTAAAGAATGAAATCTTAATATCAGCACCCAGGGTAGAGCACACAGGGAAAAGAAAATTCAGGCCTAACTGCTCATAAAGAGGGGGAACTAACGTCTTACAAATAATTTGTGTTGCTGGCTTCTGTTTCCCACACCACTCTTGACATGTTATAAAGTTATAATCACACAGTGATTATTTCCGAAATAATTTTGTAAGGATGAAGGCCACAATATTAGAGCAGGTCTGCATGTGTTTACTTTTATACATTTCTGTGAGGTACTTGGTCATGTACATGCAGAAAGGTGCACTATCAGTGCATTTTAAGGTACCTTTTGTATGTGGTGCCTCTATAAATCTACAGACACCTCTTAAGGATCTGAAACCATTTCTCATTTAAAAAAAAAAAAACAAACCCAACAAACAAGTAGTGATAATCATACAGTCATAGAATCATAGAATGGTTAGTGTTGGAAGGGACCTTGAAGATCATCTTGTTCCAACCCCCTGCCATGGCAGGGACACCTCCCACTAGACCACGTTGCTCAAAGCCCCCATCCACCCTGGTCTTGAACACTTCCAGGGATGGGGCCTCCCCAACTTCCTTGGGCAATTTGTTCCACTGCCTCACCCCCCTCAGAGTGAATTTTTTTTTCCTAATGTCTATCCTAAATCTGTCCTCTTCCAGTTTGAAGCCACTCCCCCTCCTATCACTACATGCCCTTGTAAAAAGTCCCACTCCAGCCTTCTTGTAGGCGCCCTTCAGATACTGGAATCACAGAATCACAGAATCACAGAATGGTCAGGGTTGGAAGGGACCTCTGGAGATCATCTAGTCCAACCCCCCCGCCAGAGCAGGGTCACCTACAACAGGTTGCACATGGAAGGCCGCTAGAAGATCTCCCCAGAGACTTCTCTGCTCCAGGCTGAACAATCTCAACTCTCTCAGCCTGTTTTCATAGGATAGGTGCTCCAGCCCTCGGATCATCCTCGTGGCCCTCCTCTGGACCCTCTCTAACAGGTCCATGTCCTTCTTATGTTGAGGGCTCCAGAGCCGGACACATTACTCCAGTTATGGTCCCATGAGAGCCTAGTAGAGGGGCAGAATCACCTCCCTCAACCTGCTGGCCACACTTCTTTTGATGTGGCCCAGGGTATGGTTGGCCTTCTGGGCTGTGAGTGCACATTGCTGGCTCATGTTGAGTTTCTCATCAACCAACACTCCCAAGTGCTTCTCCAAAGGGTTGTTCTCAGTCCATTCTCTGCCCAGCCTGTATTTATTCACGGGATTGCCCCGGCCCAGATGTAGGACCTTGCACTTGGCCTTGTTGAACTTCATGAGGTTTGCACAGGCCCACTTCTCAAGCCTGTCCGTGTCCCTCTGGATGTCATCCCTTTCCTCCGGTGTGTCGTCTTCTCCACCCAGCTTGTTGTCATTGGCAAACTTGCTGAGGGTGCACTCCATCCCAACATCCATGTCACCAAGAAAGATGTTAAATGGTACCGGTCCCAGTACCAACCCCTGAGGAACACAACTTGTCACTGATCACCACTTGGACATGGAGTTGTTGACCGCAACTCTTAGAGTGTGATCGTCCAGCCAGCTACTTATCCACCGAGTGGTCCATTGGTCAAATCCATGTCTCTCCAATTTAGAGACAAGGATGTCATGCAGAATGGTGTCAAGTGCTTTGCATAAGTCCAGGTAGATGACATCTGTTGCTCTTCTCTTATCCACCAACACTGTAACACCATTGTAGAAGGCCACCGAATTTATCAGGCACAATTTGCCTTGTATCCTGCTTCAGGGCTAATGCCTTCTACCAACTGGCAGACCAGCTAAGTTGGTTCTTGAGAGGCAGCTCCTTCTCTACCTGTCCTGGACTGAAGTTGTGACTCAGACTCCTCAAGGGAAACGATGCAGGGATGATGTCCAGCAACCTCGCTTGTGCTCTTGCAGCTGCTGCAGTGCCACTGTGGTCCTGACAGTTGACCACACAAGAATTGTATGACTCATAACTCTTTAGTACAGCTCCAGCTGATAAATCAGAAAAAGTTATAATCCAGTGCTGTGCATATGGCAGACATCACCATTTTTTCCTCTCTCTTTTTTCCTCCTATTCTATGCTTTTTAGTTACACTTTCAGTTTTTCATCCTGACCATTCTCAATAGCCTAAGGCTGTAAGTTTGGTGAGATGTGGAACATGCTCAAAAATAAATCGTTCGAGTTTTTGAAATGACAAGATACGGGTAAAAATTTGTCCTTAGCTGAGTATTAAGTGTTTTAAACAGTAGAAAGACATTTTTTCCCCCCAAAAGCCTTAAATAGCCCTATTGATATCCAGAGAACTGCTGCTGTATTATAGGCAAGCCTAGAGAGCTACTGGTGCTGAACACTATAGGTGTCTTGAAGAGTCCTAAGATTTAAAGATTTTCCGTTCCTAAATTTGCAGATGAGATACAAGTGCAATTCCCTAGGGCATTTTGGTAGACTCACTGCAGAAGGTTCTCACCTGTGTTATTTATGCCCAGAAGTTTGATTTGGGGTCAGAACAACAGAACAAAAATCAAAACTCTTGGATTTTGTTTCTTGATTTGGCCTAGGCTTTTGGATGCCTGAAGCATACTCTCTGTGTTGCAAGGGTATCTTAATGTGTAATTATGGTTAATGAACCACACTTCAGAAGTCAGTATACAAATGCACATGGATTTGATGACAATGCTGCATTCATAAGCCAGCAGGAAACATTACATGACCTAATCCAACCTGCTGAATATCACTACTCATTAATAGCTCTGGACTGAGGCCAGCAGTGAATGCTTGATGGAAGGGCATCTCCCAGAGGTATATCTGATCTTGACAGAGCTATGAAATTTCCCCTTCCTGCAAGGAATCTAATCCATTCCTGAGCTTCCTTTAGTTTTGGGTTTTGTTCTTTATTTTTTTCTGAGAAGATGGAACACATGATTAGGATATCTCAGCTGGTAGCACCAAAACCCCAGATCCTTTTCTTCAGGATCTAAACACTATCATGTTTCACAGAGAAGCAATAAAAAGTTTTCTCTTTCCTTTTGCATTCGTAATGTTACTCTCCAGCAAAGATGCGTGTTGTTACATAGCAACTTTGGCTTTCACAACTTTGGCATGGGGGAACAAAAAGAAAATTAAAGAATCATGTGCCTGGGCAAAGGGACAAGTATGGCACTCTGGGCTGCCTCAGAGCGAAACCAAGGGAGGTTCCTGGCTTGCATAAAATTGTTCCAGTTTATATCAAGGAATTTGTCTTCTCTTCCTACTACGTCTTGCCTTGAAGATATAGACACATCCCCAGCGGGTATGATTCAGCGCAGTCTCCCCATTGAGTTACTTGGATTTACATCTGCAATGTGTCAGACACACAATCTGGCAGTTGGCAAAGGAGTTTACTCATCTCCACCTCCTGCTGTCTGGAACAGCCTTATCAGTTCTCACTGTCATACTACGGCTTAGCTGCAAGCATGTCTTTTACAACTAAAATTAAATTGCCCTGAACTGCATTTTTGTAAATCTCTGCCATCAGATAGCTTTTCAGAAGGTTTGTGAACATCAGAATAGATGTCTGTTCATCAAAGGAATAGCTGGCTTTCTCATGAGGCTGGCAAATGAAACTTATAATTTATGACCAGTAATTGCAAGTCTCTTGTGGCTTCTCCATGCCTGTTGGAGAGACACCCACATAGCCGGCGAGAATCTGACAGTGGGCATTAATTAGGAAAGTCGCCCACACTCCTAGTAAAAGATTGCAGACTTTACCACTGCCTCATCCCCAGAAGCACAGACCATCTGATGAGGACCGAGACAAGCTAACAGGAGAGGGGGTGGGTGGGCAGGAAACTTTGGTTACCTCTAAATGTGCCGTCTGTATTCTGGGAATCTGAAAATAAGTTTAGGCCCCTGTGTCCCTGATTTCCTTTCTTTGTGGAGCATCTCAGGTAATACCTAGTAGAAGGGTATG